GTGATTATATGATAAACCAGCCATCAGAGCAAGCAGATCAGTGCTGCTAATGGAAGAGGGTCATGGGGAAAAGAAACAGGTTTTGAAAAGATAAAAAAAAAAAGGAAATTTCTGAGCATGAACTCATTGTTATACAGTCAACAGATACATGCATTATGTCAATTTAGAAAAATAATTGCTGTCTTGTTCTTGGGAGTTATTGCATATGTAGAATATTATCCTAGGCATGTGCTAATTAACCCACGATTTCTTAAAAACTTAAGTTCTTTCCCAATAAGGAGATACAAGACCATGGCATTTGGCCTCTGGATGTCTTGGCAACTTTCTCAGTTGAGGAGAAAGACCAATTTAAACATATTTTTTCCCAGAATTTTGACTTAATATTTGATTATTAGTTTTTGTGTAAGAAATCTCAAAGGTGGTGAAATAATTTTTTTAAAGGGATCTTTTTCCTTTCAGACTTTGTTGATATAGTTTCCTGATAGAGTCTTAATATGTTTATCTTTAATTATAGGAATTTTAAAACAGAGATCAAGAGAAGAATGTAGAGCAATAGAAAGAGGGACTAAGAAAAAAGATAAAGCTCTGACAATAGGAGGCATTTAGTGAAATATTATTCTTTCCATAAGGGAGAAAGTCTAGTGGATCAATTGGTAATTCATTCGAGTCTCACTCATATGCTATAACAAAATGAACATCAAATTAAGCTCACATTTCATCTTAAAAAAATGTATGATTTTAAGATTTTTACATACAAACATCTAGGAGAAAAAAGAACACATTCCAATTTGAACAAAGTTCTATCCTCAATTATTAGAAAATCTGCTCTTTGATTCCCATTTTACAGTACACTTATGTAGCTGCATGAGTATTAAGAGTATAAAGCATTTCATTATTTCCAGAAGCAAGAGTGATTTGTTCAACAAATACTCTTAGATATAATTGCACCAAGTATTATTCTTATTAGCTCAACCCAGCTCTGGAGGAAAAAAAAAAATATGTAGTCCTGTTGAACATTTCTCCCTAGTGTTCATATCCTTTGAATCTTATTAGAAGGTGTTTCTTACATCTTTTCCTTAAATACTGCTGTTTTCCAGGGCTCTTCTCAAACTTCTCTAGATTAACTGCTCTTAGATGTTTTTATTCACTCTTGTGATTTTAACCAAGCTATTGGTTTTCTAATTATTAGAGCAGGGCCATTCGAACCCTTTATATGTCCAGAGACAGGACTGAGGCTCAATTCTCACATGTGAATCAGATATGAAAGTGAGGTTTCTCCTTTGAATGAGGTTTAAGGACTGACTTCAAAGTGTGTGAGTGTACTGCAATCTCTCTAGGTTCAATTTTTTTTTTAGGCCAGAAATATGAACTTTATATGTAAACCGGTATAAATTTTTTTTCCTGGTCCATGTATTTTTATTCCTGTTACTGTTTTTTTTTCTATAATTATATTTTATTAATTTTCATAAACATTTACAGAGATTTTGGGTTTCCATTCATTCATTGTTGCAATATTCTCTCTACCCTCCTCCCAGTTTGTTCTTGTCCAAATGCCACAGTGCTTGTCAAAGCCAGTTCTGATTAATCTTCTTTGTCAGTGTATC